GGAGAGAGTAGAATTGCGCCTTTGGGGTTTCAAGGCTGTGAGTCTTAAAGAGAAGACTCCATGGAGCAGAATGGTGGTTTTGAACACCTGACCTTTTGGTTAGCAGGCAAATGCTTAGACATTAGTACTAATTTTTAGACTATAGTTGTTGTTGTTGTTATGTGCCTTCAAATCGCCTTCAACTCATAGCGACCCCATGTACAACAGCCCTAAACCCTGCTCTATCCTGTGCCAATCTTATTTTCTCTGACACACCTACCCGCATTGCCCCAGTGACTGAATCAATCCATCTTATCAAGGTTCTTCCTCTCCTGCGCTGTCCCTCCACCCTCCCAAGCATGACGTCCCTCTCCAAGGACTGGTCCCTCCATGCAACATGTCCAGAGTATGTCAGCTGACGCTTCAGAATCCTTGTCTCCAAGGAGCAACCTGGCTTCACCCTCTCCAGGAAGAACTTGTTTGTTTTCCTAGCAGTCCATGGCATATGCAATACTCTTCTCTAGCACCAAAGCTCAAAGGCATCAACTCTCCTTCTTTCATCCCTAGTCATTGTCCAACGCTCTGATGAATAGCAGGTAATTGCAAAGACCATGGCCTGGATCAGGCACACCTTAGTCTCCAGACTGGGATCATTGCTCCTCAGGACCTTGGAGAGGTCTCTGACAGCTGGCTTTACCAGTGCAATTCATCTTTTAATTTCCTGGCTGCTGATACCAAGAGTGTTTATTGTATTGTATCTCACCTTTTCCAAATTAAAAAAAAAAGTTTTCCACATTTCAGTAATGAAGATAGTTGCTATTTCCAGTCCTAGTGCAACTTTCTAGTTGCCAGTCGCCCCAGTGTTGGCTTTGACTTTGGCAATGCATGTACAACAGAAGAAGACTGTGCCCATCTTTGTGTTGTTTTAAATACTGTTGTGCTCGACTTTACTGTTGCAGCCAGCCACTGTGTAATTTCAGTGCCTTTTAGCCTGAGGTCTCAGCCACCAGCACCATACTAGACAAATATCCTTTTCAAATCTATAGAATTTTCATTGTCTAATTTTCAGAAGTAGATCTCCAGATCTTTCTTCCTTGTACTTAGTCCATAAACTCCACTGAAACCTTCTGAAATTGTTAAAAACCTAGTAGCATCGCTTCCAACATACAAGCTGTCACAATACAGCAAACTCTCAGATGGGCGACGGGCTTTCTAGTTACACAGCATAAAGCCTACTGAGGTCGGAATTTCTCTTCTTGTGTCCTTGGGGAGAATTTTCTCCTGAAGCTGAGATACTCTTACCCTTTTTACCTAAGAAACATGGTTTCCACGAAGGCTTGACTGCTCCTGTCCAATAAAGAAAAAGGAGTAAGTATAAATCTTTGCATGACTCTAAGGAGGGGTTCATCCATTGCTGTTGATGTTATTAAGGGCTGTTGAGTTGAGTTTGACTCATCGCAATCTGTGAACAACAGATCTGAACCCTATCCCGTCATTTACCATCTTTACCATTCCTGGCACATTGAGTTCACGGCCACAGACACTGAATCTCATTAAGAGTATTTTCCTCCTTTGCTAACTTTCCATCTCTCCAAGCAGGATGTCCCTTTCCAAGTGATAGCCTCTTCTAACAACATGTCCAAGGTATGTGGGATGCAGCTTTGCCATCCTTGCCTTCAAGGAGCACTCTGGTTGCACTTTCTCCAAGATGTACCTCTGCATTCTTTTGGCCTCCATGACTCACTCCATTCTCTTTTCCAACACCACAACTCAAAGGCATCAGTTCTTCTTCTGTCATCCTGATTCATGGGTTCTCCCATAGGTTGGTGATGTTCTGATAGACTTAGAATTTGCAGTATTCCCTTCAAATGGATTCAGCCCCTTGTCAAAAAGTGTCTTGTCTGCCCCATCACAGAGTGTACTGCCACGTTGTCCGTGGCTGGTCTCTCCACGTAGGCGCAGTGGCCGTTCACACTGTGGCTTCAGTGTGTGAGAGACTTTGGCTGGGAGCCAGAGGACTGTGCCAGCTTTCGTTAGGTGGCCTGGAATTTATCTTGTGCTCATTCAAGGTCTGATCTAGTCCTTCGTGAATTCTGTCCTTGGCGCTCTTCCAGCATCTCCCTGGCATGGAGTGAACACTAATTGATTGCTATTATTAGGGTGATGCCCAGACAGATGCCTCCACAGACTAAATCCTTTGTCTCTGTCCTTTCTCATGCTCCAGCCCCAGGTTCCCAACTGCCTGGTGGATGCCACACCCATTTGCACCTATGCCCATGCTAGAGGCTCTGCCAGGCATGCCTTTCTGCCGCCTCTCTTATTAAAATCCCCTTCACACATTGAGGACCAGTTACTGTCTCCTCCTCAGATGAAGTCCCTTCCCATGCCACCACTGAAGCTCATTATTTCTTTCTTCATACTCAGCATTGTTTGTTTGAAGCCACCTCCCTCCCTCCCACCCCTTCAAATTGTTAATCTTACCCTGTAATATGTTAGTTGTTTACATGTGTGTGTCCAAATCCTTCTCTTTGACGTGGGGGAGGCTGTGCTGATACGGCCATGCCCACCGCAGCTATCACAGTTGCACAGAGTGATACCAAATTAATGAATGTTGGGGCAGCACCCTGATATCATTGTTGCCTTCCGTGTGGAGTGGTGCTGCCAGTTTAAACAATTCGTTTGAATTCACCAGCTGTTCCTTGAGAGAAAGATGGGCAGTCTCTTCCTCTGGGATTTATAGCCACTGAAAACCCACTGGAGAGTCAACTCTGAGTTGGTTTTGACACGTAACAACAACAAGCGAGGGATTCAGGCTTGATTCCTGGTAATGCACGTTATGCACAGACACCACCCACTGTTATTAGAGGCATAAGTGTTGGTATAATGTGAGTAGGTGTCCGTAGAACCTCCAGGCAGAGATATTCTAGGAAGAGAGGCTTTGTGGTCTCCTTTTGAGAATCAGTCAATGAGGACCCTGTGGAGCATAACACTTTTCTTTGATTGCAACACAGGGATGGCGAGAATGGGACAGCGTTTTGCTCAGTTATAAAGGAGGATGCTATAAGTTGGGGACCAATGTGACAGGGGCTAGCAGCCACACATACTGATGTCATAGAAACTCCAAAGCCACCAGACCTTTACTTAGCTTTTCTGTAAGAGGAGAGTCAGTCCTGCATGGTCTGGACTGCACACTTCAGAGATAATTTTATTATTCACCTTTTGTACTTGAAGGAGCAGTCTCATCTAGAGGTCCTGGTGAAAAGATGACTCAGCAGCTGGGCTCCCTTGTTGTGTTTCCAGAGATAATCAGGAGTCATAATGATAATTCACAGAAAAAGCTTTTTCTTTTGGTCACAAGTTGAACTCACTGCTGTTAAGGAGCTTCCAATGTCATAGTGACTCTGAAGCATAGAGTAGAACAGCTCAAAGGGTCTCTAAGGCTGTAAGTGGTCGTGGAGGGGCCTGCCACATCTTAACTCTTAAAGAGTGACAGCTGGGTTTGATTGTTGGACTTAGCAGCTGCATGTCTCAACTGCTATGCCCTCAGGGCTCCTTTATTAAGAGTTACCCACCATCACTCTGCTCATTGCCACTGAGTTAATTCTGACTCATAATGACACTTCACTGGATTTCCTGGGACTACCTAATTTCCTCCCACAGAGCAGCTGATGGATTTGAACCACTGGCCTTTCCATTAACAGCACAATTCATCAAAGTTACTCACTCATTGTCATGGGGCTGGAACCTACTCATACTTGGGTTTCTGAGATTGTAGGCCTCACAGAAGAACTGGCCATCCTTCTCCCAAGGAGCAGCTCAAACTCCAGAGACATGCGGCCTTTGGGATGGATGACACCATCAGGGTCTGTATTGACTTGTTGGGCCTCTGAAGCCTCCTGTTTTCTCAAAAATGAACTAGTAAAGATTCTTGCCCATTTAGTTCACCTTTACTCTTGGGAAAATTAGAGCTAGGCAATAATAGAGCACTGGCTTGTCCATGCTTTAATTTCCTTGTTTGTAAAACAGAAGATCATTGTATATACACCAGGGGATCCTGAGAAGGTTAACTGAGGGTGAACTTTTATGCATAAACATGCTCCATACATACTGCTATCATTATCTGATGATAAACGCACTCAACACTTAAGTTGCGTTTTACAGCTGATGCACCAAGGAGCCCTAGTGGCACAGTGGGTTAAGCTGCTAATTGAAAGGTTAACCATTTGAATCCATCTTCTCACTGAAGGTTAAAGACGTGGCAGTCTGCTTCTGTAAAGACATTTTAGCCTCAAGAACCCTGAGGTTCTACTCTGTCCAACAAGTTTGCCGTTATTATAATGATAATATTATAACAATGTCACTACAGTCAAGTGAGAACTGACATGATTGTAGTTGGTTAGTGGGATTGGTACGCTGACGATATTGTCCAATGAATGCTTTTTTTCCAGCATTGCTGGTAGAAGGAGATCTAGCGATGGTCAAGTTCACCTAAGCTGCTTTCACTTTGAAGATGAGTCAAAGGGCGTCAATAATTTTGTCTGCCATTAAACGGAGCTAAACTTTATGAAATTTGCATATATCTATTGCAGTACAGGATTCTAGCCTGTTAATTCGATGGCTACATCAATCAGGATTATTCTACACCTCAGTCACAAGTTGGTTCACGTCTAGAGTTGACTGTGGGTGTTACAAAATAAATATGGAGAGAAGTAAAGAAGAAATACATACTTCTTCCTGCTGTATTTTGAGGGGGCTGAGAACAGCTCTGGTTATTATGAGGCAGTTACCTCAACAGAGCTTTACTTTCTCTCTCATATTTCAAAGGACACACATCCAGCGGGCCTTCATCTCCCTTAACGATCTTGACATTGTCACATTATACCCAAGTGCAAAACTATGACAATACCTCTTTGCTCCGGCTGCCAAAAGTAACATGGAGGGACACATCGTAGTTGAAAAGGGATAATGGTCCCTTTATAGTGACGGGCTTGGAATTATAAATATTTTTATTTCTCCCGTAGGAGATGGCTCGTGGAAGAGAGGAGACAAACACGACTTTGAAGCTAAGCAGGCCTACTCATCCCTCCAAACAGTCACCCTACTGAGGACAGTGAAACCTGAGTTTGAGAAGTTTTCCATGGAAGTGAAAAGTTCTGTTGAGAAACAAGGACTCAATGAGGAGGATTACGTAAGTGCTTGATTATAAGCCTAGACCTTCAGCATCCTGAAAACAGTCGTCTAATTAAATCAGAGGTGACGGCGTGTCCTATTCTGAATCATTCAAAAATTCCTAGCTGAGTGTCTGAATATTGCCATTGCTCTCTCGTCTGTGTGTTTGTGTCTGTGTGTGTGTTTCTGGCTGGTTTCCCTCCTTTCCTCTCTCCCTCCCTCCCCTGCCTCCTTCCATCCCTACCCTTCACTTACTCTTCTCCAGCTTCTGCAGTTGTGGGTACCTGTGGGATGGCTGTGTCAATGTCTGTACACTTTCATCTACTTCTCTGCTGGGATGCTGTTGAGGGGGATAATGGATGAAGGAGCATCAACGTTCTGCGTGCTTAGTTTTTCCAAAGTGTGGTATCAGGAGTTTTAGGTTTTAGGAGGCTCTTTTCTTTTTGCCTTAGGGGGTCCTCTGGCTTGGTGTGGATGCAAGCAAGATGAAATTGTTGACAGCTTCAGTACTTTCTCTGTGTATTAGAATATTGACTGTTGGTCCTGTGGTGAAGACTTTTGTCTTCTAGATATTGAAGTGCAATCCATACAGAAGTTCTCAATCTTATGCAGCAAGTGTTTCATATCCTCCTCAGTTTCTGCAAGCAAGGTTGTGTCATCAACAAGACACAGGTTGTTGATGAGACTTCCTCAGGTCCTGATGCCACATTCCTTTTCATAGAGTCCACCTTCATGAATTATTTGCTCCATGTACAGATTGCCTGGGTAGGGAGAGAGGCTACAACCTTCAGGGCTTTTCATACTATTTGTGCTGTTGTTACTAGTGCATTTTCGAAGAGAGTCTGGAATCCTAGTGAGGCTAAGGGTGTTTCCATAAACACAGGGACTCATTTGCAAGTGACAAGAAATCTGGCTGACTTTACCTCCCTTGGGGCCATTGTCCCCAACATTCCAGGTCCGCCTGGTTTACTTTGTTGTGTTACTACTCCTGTCACTTCTGCACCTCCTTTCTCTAAGAAAATGATTAGTCGGTGCCTTGGACAAGTTGAGTGGGCTTATTGGTTTTCGAAACCACAGTGTCCAGCACAAAAGGAGGCACCGTCTTCATGGTAGGTGTGTGGGCCAGACAGTCCTTGCCTAAGCTGGATTTGAGTTGATCCTGGCTTATAGGAGAAAGGTGGCCTAGTGACAAGAAGCTGCGCTGCAATCTCAAAGGCACATGGTTCAAATCCACCAGCCGCTCCATGGGAGAGGGATAAGCATTCTCTTTCTGTGCAGTTAACTGCCGCAGAAAACTGCCAGACTGTCAGCTATGAGTCAATTCTGACTTTACTGTACACAAAAACACATAGAAGAAAAAGCAGAACGAACCCTTTGGATTCCTAAGCTGTAAATCTTTACGGGAGCACATTGCATCATCTTTGTATCATGGAGTGGCTGGTAGGTTTTGAACAGTTAGCAGCCCAACACATAGTCCACTTCACCACCAGAGTTCCTGTTAGAAGACATGTTGTGCTGTGGAATCGACTACAACTTATACTGACCCTATGAACAGTGCATCTGAACCTTGCTGTTTTCTGCACCATTGTGAACTCTGACATGTTTGAGCCTATTATGGCCACCTTGTCAATTCATCTTGCTGAGGGCCTTTCTCTTTCTCCGAATCTCCACCTTTCCCAGCATATCTTTCCCCAAATACTACCTGTTCCTGACAACATACTCAAAGTATGTGAGACAAAGTTTCACTCTCCTTGTCTCTGAAGAGCACTGTGGTTGCATTTCCCCCAAGACAGACTTGTTTGTTCTTTTGGCAGTCCACAGAGTATTCAGTACTTTTTCTCCAACACTACAGCTCAAAGACACTGATTCTTCTTTTATTTTCCTTACCCATTTTCCAACTTTTACCTGCATAGGAAGCAGTTGAAAAGATCATGAGGTGTATCTCTGTGATGTAGTTAAGAGAAGGCACTGGACACAGGTTTTTATTGTGGGCATCCCAAATTGTGTGATAGCTTTTTTTTTAATTTAATATATTCTAGTACTAGACTTCTAACAAACGTTTTAACATATTATCATCAGCCTTGGAAGTCTATGAAAAATGGCAAAGTTTGAAACTTTACATTTTTTTTACAAAGTTAAACTGGTAGACTGCTCAGTGATGTTCTTTGGCAAATTTACTTTTCTGCTTTAAATGCAGTTAAGCTTTGACGAATTAATCTAGTTTTGTTTGATAAAGTTGATCTTTACTCTTCCCCTACTTTTCCTTGTTTCCTCTTTCTCTCTATCATCATCTTCATTGCATACTTCCTTCCCTTTTTTCCAACTGATATTGAGGTAATTGCAGAGATACATGCAATTTTAGAATCTGCTATGGAGAGAGCTTTGTATATTGTACCCAATTCTTCCCAGTGTTAGAATGTTAGAAAATGAGCCTACATCATCACAACCAAGATACTGATACATTAATCCTACTTAACACTGATAGAGTTTTGCTTGTATTCATGTGCGTGTGACTTTTATCTCTTATTTAAATTTGGGTGTTGAGTTTTATGAAATACTTTGTCCACATGTCTTGGGGAAATTGGATTTTAAGTCAATTATAAAATGGTGATATTATATAAGCACATTATAAAGTGGTGATTTGTATTGCTAGGCTTTTGTGATTTTCATCATATCATTGTGTGCCTGAGTTGAATGTGACCATTCTCTATCATATGCTATTAGAACTTCTCTATGCCCCATGTATACAGGTATACCTCATTTTACTGTGCTTTACAGATTATACATTTTTACACATTAAAGGTTTTTGGTAACCCTGTATCCAGCAATTACATTAACACCATTTTTCCAATAACATGTACTCACTTCATGTCACTAAGTCACATTTTGATGATTGCAATATTTCACACTTTTTAATAATGTTGCATATTTAATTGCAGTGTAGTGTAAACACAACTTCTATATACTTTGGTAAGCAACAACAAAAAAGTGGTTCACTTTAGTGTCATATCTTATTGAATTATAAGGACATCTGATTCATTACTTCCATGAACAGTGGTGGAAACTGAGGTTTCATAGGCAGGTAAAGGAAGCCTTCTGTAAAAAAAAAGCAAGGGCCACATGTGGACATCCATGTCTTACTTTTACTGACTTCACAAAAGGCAACTGTCCCCATTTCCAGCATCAGTAACACAAAACCAATTCCCAAGAGGTCAGACATATTCCCCCATGCTCCCATACTTCTCTTTCTACTCATCTTAACACCAATCTTACTGCTTTGGCTGAGACCAAAAATCCTATGTGATAGCTCACAGACCACACAGAATTATATTGGGGAAGTCAAAAGGTTATAATCCAGATTAATAACAGAGCTCCTGAAATGTACATGCAGACACCTTAGCCTTGAGCCTGTGCCTTCAGGCCATTGTTTCCCAGTTCTCAGTCTTGCCAATATTGAGTTCTCTTACCACCCCCCTCAATTGTCCAATAAATTTCTCAGTCCTACCAATATTGGCTCTCCCTCACCTCAAGGTCTTAACTCATGTCAGGTCCCCAGATTGGACGTAGGTGTTGCTGCTGTAGGTATAGCTGGAGCAGGAAGGTTGTCCTGCATTCTTTTGTTGTCTCTTCATTGGCATGGGAAGATCTGTGTCTATGGCTAGTGCTGTTCAATTTATTCGCAAGACTAGCGAATCCCCTTGTAGATTGTTGAGCCCAGCCAATTCCCTTATGGATTGAAAGAGAGGCATGCTACATTTGCATATTCCCGCCCATCTACTTAGCAAACCAAATAATGGCTAGACAAGTCATATTAAAAAATAAAGTCCATACCTTCCCAATTTTGACTTCTATATTGTAACTTGATTACTTAGTACAAGTCAATAGAGTAATGATGGAGTTGCCTTGATCTTTTGAGATACATGTAACCAAGTGTTGGTTTGCACTTATTTTGTGGGAGAAGATATTTAGGATAGTAAGGGAATTTCTTTCACAGTAGGCTTTTGAAGATTATTGGGGAGTTATCAGAATTCTAATTCTCAGAAGTAAAACTTCACTAGAAGGGGGCCTCCAGTGTCAGTGGGTGTTGGGTCTGGCTTAGGCCAATGTTTGCTAAGTGCCTGCCTAGTCTTCTCTAGTGGTTTTTACTGGATTGTCCACTGGTGCAGTGCCTCTCACTCCCTGGTGTCTCATGGAGGTTCTTGGCTTTTGCTCTGTGAGGGCATCCAATTCCAGAGCTCTGGTATTTGGTTTTAGAATGCGCTGTGTGGTGGCCAAGTCAAGATTAGATGCATCCCCTGACTCCTGGTTCAGTGACTTTCTTTTTCCACTACATCAGTCTGATCCTTTTAATAACAAAGTGCCCACGACGAGGGTGAACCTAAGACCCTAAGATTAAGTGTCTCAGTTTCTACAAGTGAGCCTGGCAGGCAACACAAACCAAAGTGTTTCCTTCTTCTCCCTGTACCTAGCTGGCCCAAATAGGGACTTTGTGTCTCTTTACTCTTCCAAACACTTGACAAAAGCTGGGCGGGGCTCTGTGGCCTCTTCATATGTAGAGAGCAGTTCTCCATTACTCCCTACGCCCACTCCCAGCCATTTATTTCCTCAGTAGTCAGATGCTGTTTATTGAGTGTCAAAGTGAGCATAGCTGTAAGCTTGGTTTTGGACAGTATAATGATATTAACTGGGGTGGGATTCTTGTCACCTAAAAATATTCAAGCAAGTATATAAAAGTCCATGACCAGGATGATGGTGAGAATATGTCTCACATACTTGGTCATGTTCTCAGAGAGATCTAACCTTATAAAAACACATCATCTTTGATAAAGTCGTATTTGTTGTTCTGTGCCTTTGACCTGAGTATGGCTTATAGCGGCCCTGTGAACAACAGATTTGACCTTGCCCTGTCCTGTTACATTGTCACTATCTCCACAATGCTCCAACCCACAGTTGCAGTTACTGTGTCAGTTCATCTCACCAGGGGTCTTCCTCTCTTTTGCCTAATCCTTCATCTTTCCC